ATTGTTTTGATGTATTTCTGAGGAATTTATTACTCTCATTTATATGCTTATTTGAGTGATTTTATTATTATTATTATGTATATCTATTGAATACCACAATGAGAGTAGATGTATGGAAGTAGGATCATAAGGGCACTTGCAATCAGTTTCATGTGTGACTCATGACCAAACACATCTGTGAACTCAGACATGCGCCCACGCTTAGTTGCAATGACTTCAAAAATATGATGACCCTAAAACTGCCGGTGAACTTCAGCTGAAGCTTACAGTTGACAGCTCAAGCTACAGTAAACAAGATGAATTGCTGAGCATTGTTTTGTCACAGTTGAAGTAGGAAGGAAAGACCTTAAATGGTCATGGGGAGGGCTCCTAAAAAACTAAAATTCTGTTGGTGGTAAAGAAATTACTCAACTAGCTAGGATGCACCTGAGATTTTTAGAATACCATTAGTGGAGAAGCTAATGGAGGTGTGTTAATGTGTAAATTTGGGTGAAGTGATAAGACAAAGAAGTGTATTTAAACTGTGAGCTAGCCTATACTCAAGACACTCGAAAGACCAGTCTCTGTTGTTACTGATGCTGTAACAATAATCTACTTTTCCTAAAGACTTTGGAGATCTCAGAATTTGTTATTTTATGAGAACTTTGACTTGGAATTTTAGAAAATATTTTGCAAACCAGAATCTTTTTTTCCACAACACATCATTTGGTGTAATCAGAGTGACTGTGTTTGGACTGAGATTGTCTTACACAAATAATGATTGCTTTGATCTATAGGTTCATGGCAAAGAAAGAGTATGTATGTCAGATAGCTGTGTAAAATAGGCTCATCATTTGGAAATAAACCCATAAAATGGCTTTGAATGGGTATATTAAAAGACAAAATTAATTCTAGACATTATAATAAAATTTACAAAGTCAATCATATTTTTAAAAAAAATCAGGTTTGTGATTTGTGCATTTTGTACCTTACCTTCCCTAAACTTCCTGTTCCGACATCAACAGACAGAATACTGTAAAGAGAGAAAGAGGAGAATTAAATGAAGGAAATTATTAATGCTTAAACTAACCAACTTCTATATTTACAAGACTTTCTGTAATACCTACTTCTGATTTTTTAAAGTAAATGAGTCATTCATTTGGGGGTGTTATAAATAGCATTTTCTTATCACAAAATGAGTGGTGACTTTATTCAAGACTCACAGCTGGTATGTTTGATTTGATTAAAATGAACTCTTTGCAGTTCATTTGAATAAGTGTGAATGTTGCCATCTGAATCTAAACAAGCAGATGAGCATTTAGACAAAACTCATGCAATTATGAACAACACAAATCAAAGACATCTACATGTAGATGAATCAAAACAGCAAATAATGTCAATAAATGTGAGCATGAACAGGAAAGTACAGCTCAAGGATATCTAGATTTTCTCAATCTAGGGATGTAATAAACATTCATTCAATATGTATATATTATCATGTGTACAAATTTTTTTTTTGAATGCGATAATTCGTTTGACAGCACTAATTATTATATATATATATATATATATATATATATATATATATATATATATATATATATACCTAGCTATGTGTATTGTGTTAATGTCAATGGGTGGTCAACCCATTTCCTGGAGAGCCACCTTCCTGCAGATTTCAGTTGCTACCCAAATGACACACACCTGAACCAATTAATTAGGACCTGAACACCACGTGATATTTACAGGCAGGTGTGTTTGATATGGGTTGCAACTGAAATCTGCGGGACGGTGGCTCTCCAGGAACAGGGCTGGCCACCCCTGTGTTAGACCAATATAAGACCATCTAAAATACGAAATGAATGTCTAATTATATTGTTTAAAACCACCCTTTTTCGCAGCACCGTGCGACAGATTTTTGCAAGCACAAGCTTTAGTGTAACCACAGCTTAAGACACTTTGGACAAAAACGTCTGCTAAACGACTAATGTAAATGTTATTTCCATGACTTCTCCAAAACCTTGTGGTTTTTCTGTTTTTCCAAAACTTTTCCAGGCCTGGAAAATGCCATGTTAAATTTCCATGACTTTTCCAGGTTTTCCATGACTGTATGAACCCCGGCTAGGAAAGGCTTACACGCATTTAACCTTCAACCATTCATCGGATTCCATCGTTGGGCAGATAGAATGGAATCTTACAACAATAATCAAAAAGCAGTTTTTCCCAGATCTTAGAACTCAAGACTAGTAAAGTACAGAACTAAAAGGCATCCTGCCGGATTTCCAGTGGAGCACTTTAGAATTGAGCACACCCTCCAGAGATCCCAATCAGCCCATTTCCATTTAAGCCGTTGAGAGAGCAAGAGAGGCGACATTCTACTGTGAGTCATCGTCTACTGTCAACCCACCAGCATGTCATACGTACATCTCAACCGTCACTGCCTAAAGCACATCACCTAACAATAGTGTCTACATCTAGCTTTAAAATCATCTTACTGCTATATATAGAGACTCTTTCAGACCCACCATCTGTATGACTGGACTCACTGACCTGAGTATAATCAAGTAAAGCAGCAAGACCACATCTAAATTTAAGAGGAAAGCTGAAAAATCACCTAAGTGCAGCTATTATTGTAATGGAAAGAATTGAATTAATTTCCACATAATTGTCTAAAATTACATTAGGTAAAGGATCATTGAACGCTGTCGGCTCAGATTATTTTATTTCATAATCACCAATTAAAATGAATGACACTTAAAGTAAATTTCAGTATGCAGGAGGAAGGAAGGAAACACTCATACTGTTATTTCACCTCCTAGCATGCAATCGTAAATTGAAACCTTTTTTTTCTATTCCTACAGTGCTCCACAGCATTTCTGAGAAGAAAACAGCTCAGATCTAAGCTATTCAAAGGTTTTTAGAATATAGGACAGAAAAACAACAATGTTTAAAAATGGTTCTTTATAGAAAGCCACATCATTTCTGAGCAAAACAACTCATCTAGTGTTTGAAGGACTTTCAGATCTAGCACACTCTGAGACTTTATCGAAAATCCAGAGATAATATAAGCAAGTATTTTCTATTTTATTTCCCCCAAAACCAGTATCTGGTGTAGAGTATCCACATTACTTGTCCAGCTCAATATTCTTCATTGTGTGTCTATCAGGTTCTGAGTTTCCCCATGTCATGTTGTTCCATGTGCTGTTGTTTTCATCAAGTGATTCCTTTGTTCTGTTTTCCTGCCTTTTTTCAATGTTCATTAGTTCCAACTGGGCTCTCACTCCTGTATGTCATTTAGTTAATCATGTCATGTATATAGTCCTGACTTTTGGTTAGTTTTGGCCGCTGTTATAGTCTTCTTATAATTAGTTAAATGTCTGTTGAAGAAGCAGTCTCAACAGATATTAGGCGGACAGTCTACTAATACTCAAATGGACCATCAAAATAAAGTGTTACCAACAGTTTAATATAGGCTTCTCTGAATTGATGAATATTTTTGCTTTAATTATATTTATTTTATTATGTTATTTAACAAACCAGTTTGTGTATTGGTGCTGAAACATATCGTCACATTTTTCGTCAAAATTGAGTCATTGACATATTCTTATTAAATGACAACTTATTTACATTATGGGATGTTTTTTGTCAATATCTCAAAATCCTTAAGAACGCAGATAGAACCTTATAATTCTAAGGTGAACATATATAGTGGACATGTTTTGAAGCACTTCACCTCTGTTATTCATTCCTATTGTTTATTTTGTACATAACTGACCAACAGAACATACATTAGAACATACATTAGAATTACAATACATAATAAATTGTATATACGATAATATATGAAGTGTATGTTTTTGTTCAAGCCCATCTTACACATCGGTGCGGGTGAATGGATTCATAGAAAATAGAATTTAATTAATGTGCTACTTTAAATTAGTGTATCACAAACATCTGTCCTATACTGTAGGTCTATTTGCTATATTATTAATATGTCATTATTTTAAAAATTAAGCTTCTGATTTTTTCTCAGTGCTGATGAGCCTTCATTTTCTCTATCTCCCTCGCAGTGAGTTCAGGTGAGGATGTGTTTAATACTGTAAGTAAAATTAGAACACTATTTAGTTTGCGTGCATCAAACTGGCTCGCAGTGAGTTCAGGTGAGGATGTGTTTAATACTGTAAGTAAAATTAGCCACAATTTAGTTTGCGTGCATCAAACTGGCAGGAAAACATACATTTAAAATAGATAACAAATGTCATAACGAATGCCCTTAAATAATGTAGCCTAGTTCAGTGGTCCTCAACCTTTTTATAACCACAGAACGGTCTGCGCCTTTCAAATTTTATCGCAGACCGGGGGGTGGGGGTGTGTGTGTGGGGGGTAGTGTTTGGGTGTTACGCTTTTGTATGAGATAATTAGTCTACCGATATATGCATATTTGAATACCACAAGCACACCACGATCAGCTCCACCTTTTATGGAATAAGGTAAAGCTGATTGCGGTGTGTTTGTGGCATTCATTTAACTCAGTGCATCTGGAAGGTGCAAGCGTGTCAAGCCTTCGCAAGAGTGTCAAGTGTAAAAGCCTTGTCCGTTTCGTGAGGTGTGTGCACCTTCACTGGACATAACGAACTTGCGTGAACTAGAAAAGACCCTGAAAGGCCACCGTCATTTGCAATCTCCAGTTGATCTTCTTACACAGACATGCTGGATTTACCTGATTTGTTTATAAATGGGTTGCGGATCCATTCAATGGCAGTTTGCGGGTCCTTCACAGGGCCATTTCCCCTTAGCAAAGAAACTTTCCAAAGACGTCTGTTAATTAGCGTTACTGTGTTAATGTGGGTTACATTTGGGCACTCAAGTAACTGAGACATAAGTGAGAGAATAAGGTCATTTTTCAAAATAAAAGCCTTTAAAAATAAAACATTGTTCAGACTCGAATAAATAAAATTAAAATAATTAATGGCCCGGTACCAATTGATCCACTGAGCAGTACCGGTCCGCGGGCCAGTGGTTGAGGACCACTGGCTTAGTTGACAGCAAGCATCAAGTGTTTATTGAGATTGTGTTCTCTGTCATGTATAGATTATTTGATCTTTACCGAAGCTGGTAACAGACACGTGTGGTGACTGCAGTCATGCTCAGCTCTGACAAGGTGCTTTTATTTAGCTTGTAGTCTACTATACAATAGTTTAGATTTTTTTTTACATACAATTTTCCATTACTTAAAAAAAAAAAAAAAAAAAAAAAAAAAAAATATATATATATATATATATATATATATATATATATATATATAGTTTGTATATAAAATGAGCGCTAGCTTGTTACGCTGTGATAATTAGGATCTTACTGCATATTCGGTTTATTCTTTAGTAGCCTATAGATTCGTTAATAATGTATTTTATAAATGATTGTATATAAGGACTAAGCCAGGGATGGGCAACTTGATCCTCGAGGGCCGGTGTCCCTGCAGAGTTTTGTTCCAACACTAGTCAAACACACCTGAACAAACTAATCAGTGTCTTCAAGATCACTAGAAATCTATAAGCAAGTGTGTTTAATTAGAGTTGGAGCTAAACTTTGCAGGGCATAGGCCCTCCAGGACAAAGTTTGCCCACCCCTGGACTAAGCTATTATGATACATTAATTAATACATTAAGACATTGAAGTCAGGTAGGACAACAAATCACATCCACATAGTGCATTACTGTTGAGTGGTATCAGTCTGTGGTATCGGCATTTCATGTATTTTACAAATATGAGTATTTTAACCAATTATCAGCCCGATATAAGATACTGGTATCGGTGCATCCCCATTTGTAAGGTTTCATTACATTACTAAAAACTATTCATGTCTGTGAATTTTTATATATCTCTTTTGGGTCAAAACAGACTTGAATGTGTTATGTGGGTTAAATGAATCATATCTGAGAGCTCAGTTAAAACTCCTCAGCTCTGAAAGAAAAAAGAAAACTGTCTAATAAAAAAAAAGTGTACTGAAGCTTCACCTCTGGCTGTTGCTGTTGGCTGAGCTCTCAGCGATCTGCGCGCTGGGGATCCATTTGGTCTCATCCACCACAGTGCGAGCATGAGGCAGTCGGCCCACGTCCTTTATGGTCATCAGCATGTGGCGTGAATTTTTCAAGATCTGAACGGCCTCATCATGACAGATGCTCCGGAAGTTACGTCCATTCACTTCCAAAATCTGATCCCCTACCTAAAAATACGAAAACAGAGAGAAGCATCAGAGACCTGACACTCCAAATGAGACTAAATGAAACGTAATAATGCCCGAGACAACAACACAAAGCCCACGCAGAAGACAAATAGAAAATTAACACATACAGATTTTCAATTAAGCCAGAAAACCAATAAACAAGCCATCCTTTCAGCATGATTTGTATATGAAACAATGAAATCTGTGTCGCTAGAAAGTTTGTTGTTGTAAAATGTGCCAGGTAGACGGTCATTTATGAATACCATCTGTCTCATTTCCGAATTCGCTCAGTAACAAACTGACAGAGGAAGTGAAGGAGTGGATAGTGGCACATTCACTGGAAATGATTCAGTTACAAGGCACAGAAAAGCGCTCAATCTGTTCTCATTAAACCTTCTCGGCCATGACAGAATATTAGTGATGTTCTGCAGATCGATGCAATGAATATAACACATGAAACACTCACTGAGCAGTTCAGCACAGTGGGACAACAATCAATGACTGTAACACTCTTGTTTTACCGTGCTTCATGACACTAGATACGTTCTCTGCTCTAAATCATCCTGCATCTCAACAGATTCAAAACATTATTTTTATAATTTTTATTTTTATTATTTTTGGCTATTGACATATGGTCAATACAAACAGTTTATATAAAGGTAAACCTCAAACATTTTTGAAAATATCAGCTCATCTACAAAACGGTAAAGAAAACATTTCATAGTTGTCAATTGTACTATAGGATGTTGATCTCTGCTTTGTCGACTTTTTAATATATTTTTTCCTTTCTTCAACACGTTAAAGATTTATTTATCAGATTTTTGTGACAGTTTTCATATTACACAACACAGTATATGATGTGCATTAACAATATGCGAAGTGCATTCATTTTACAAATTAAGCATATAAACAAGTCAGTAACAAAAATTGAGGCTGGCAGCATGGTGTAATAAGTACAATAAATGATGATAATAAAAGAAAAGAAAATAAATAATTAAAAGAGAGAAAACGGGAACTGCTTTGTCGACTTTTGATGTTGAAAATTCAACTCTACACTGTAAAAAATTACACTAATGTAGAGAAAGATGTAATTTTTACTAAAGTAGAGAAAGAGAGTTGAAAAGAAACAACAACAAAGTTCAAAAATTTTTTTTTACAATGAAGAGGAAGACCTCACACCACCTGACTACATTCACACCAGGTAGTTACAAGAATTCAGTCACATGAACTATCCAGAACTGAACTAATTTCTCCCTAGACTAGAAATGCCCGAACTAGGGATAAACGTGGATAAACTATCCCATCTGAGAAGAGAGGGAGAGTGATAGGTATTTATTTAGATTTTGCTAACATTAAATTTCTGAACTGATATGTTCACAACACTTTAAAATACTGTGCTAGTGTTTTATAGGGCACATATTCATCCATTCAGTTTGCACTTACATCACTGTCGTTTCTAATGTGTGTATTTCTTACTATGATTAGGCCCTGTTCTGAGATAGAGGCTAATTTAAATCCACAAAATGGCTTTCTTAGAACAATTTTTTCCCCCTCGTTTCTGTGGTGTCAATATGCCAAAATTTCCACAAATAGATCTTTAACTGTGAAAAAGTTGCTTTTGAAAGTTTAGAGACCCTCCATAGGACCATTAATGACCTTTAAATCAATGAATGAATTGTGTTCCTTTTAACTAGAAAAAAACAAGTAATTACTGACATGATTTTTGTTTGACCAACATTTCTTCTATTACAGGGGCAAACCAAACCTCTTCCATTGCTCCTTTTGTTCTCCTCAGCAAAGGAGAAATAATAAAGAAAGATTAGTTATCGATGTGTGTCTGTTTCTTCCTCTGTGTGCAAACGTTCCGCATGCAGTGGAGTCAGCAGCCAGAACGCACCATAACTCACTGGAGTAGAGAAAGAGAGGGATACAGAGAGAGAGAGAGAGAGAGAGAGAGAAAGAGAGAGGGGGGGGGGGTGCTGATTTATAAGCTGCAGGAACTCAAGGATCATTCATTTACTCACAGAAGGCAAACCACTGGCATTCTTCTACCAACCCTTCTACTCCTTTATCACACTCTCCAACGGTCTGCTGTGCTTTGCATCCCTCTATTCTGTTCTGACTTCTCCACCCTCTGCACCATTACACTACTCTATCCATCCCACTTTCCTCTAATAGCCTTCGATACTGCTGTACACAACTATATTTTATCTTCGTAACCCACTGGGGACAATCAGGACTAAGCCTCTGGTATAGAGTTACATATAATAAGGCTGTACAACTCATGTGACAATGATAAGGACATAATGGAATGTTCCCTATATAAACACAATGAGCATAAAATATAAAAATAATAGTTTCCACAGAAATTGCATCAATAATGAAATTTTAAACTATGTAAAATGTATTTATGTATAAAAAAAACATACAAACACATTTTAAAGTGCAAAAAATTTAATAAATACAATTATTCTGTTTTTGATATAAAAGGGTAAAAATGTTAAAGTCAATCATCAAAATGCAAAGACTACATGTTAAGTTCCTTTGTTCATCTGTTGAGAAAAGTCCCAGAAATTAAAACAATTCAGTCATTCTGGGACCATCAGGAAAGTCATGCATTAATCAGGATGACAAGACTCCTCAGAGTGGGAAACCAGAATCAAATAGCCTCAACGCACACGAACTTATCTACACATGGTAATAATATTAGCTTTACAAAAAAGGTGATGGAGTTTGAAATAATTAAATACATTTATTAAAAAAAGATTACATAAAAAATTTGATCTTAACAAGTTAAGAAAATAAATTGAATATGGCATCTTATGGCCTTTCAGCTCACGTCTCAGATAGTTTTAAAAACTAAAACCTTTTTGGTTTTAGCATGCCTACTGCGCCCAAATGACATTTACATGTCACGTTTCAGGATTAAAACAGGAACAAAAACGGGTGTAGAATCCAAGTGCAGATCTTTAATGTGAAAGTGCAGCAACAGTGACAAAATCCAAAAATCAAAGTAACAAATTAACAAAATAAACAAACAAACGAGCAACTCAAACAGATTAAACTGGGACTAGACTTTAACACTAAGACAAGATACAAGAGCAAGAGCTAAATCAAGATCAGGAACAACATACCAATGACAACGACCAACTCAAACAGAGGATGAATGACTGAATATATAGTCCAGATAAATCACAGAGAACGGAGACAGCTGTGGTTGTAAATCAGTGTAGATGAGAGACCGGGTGTGTGTGCGAAAGAATGTATGGAAATGTAGTTCTAAAGCCACTGTAGTCCACTGGGGGTTGCTGGCCAACTACAGTGGCATCTGGTGGACAAACACAGTCATGACATTACATTTTCATCAACATGAAAGTTTATTCTCTGCAAGCATTTTAAAGCCTTGTCAGTTTTTTCAATTTAATTCAAGTTTATATCTATAGCGCTTTTACATTGTAGATTGTGTCAAAACCGCTTAACATATAAGTTCTTGTAAGAAAAAAGTTGATACAATATTTTCTGAGTGCAACCCTTATGGCTAAAGCCATGTCACTCTGCAGCTCGAGACTAGTGTCCTGACATTTTATCTTAACCATCAGATTTTGCTACCAACACTGTATTTGCTCTGGGGTTGGGGTTAGGTAGGTTAGGGTGATATTACAGCTTCATATCACAGTACTCCACATTCAAATTTACACTGGTAGCAAAATCTGAAAAGTAGCATATTGCATCATCAAAATGTGCTACCTACTTTTTGAATGAGAAGTAGGACAATCGAAGAAGGTAGGACAAATCAGCAGAACACCAGTTACTCACTGAAGCTAAGCAGGGCTGGGTCTGGCAAATACCTGGATGGAAGACCACATGGAAAAATTGATTTGCTGTTGGAAGTGGTGTTAGTGAGACCAACAGGGAGTGCTCAATCTGCCGTCTGTGTGAGTCCTAATGCCCCAGTAAAGGGACACCATACTGTCGTCTTTTGGATGGGATGTTAAACTGAGACCCTGACCCTCTGTGGTTAATTAAAATTAAAAAGGAAATTAATTTTCCTTCAGTTTAGTTCCAATAATATCAAGGGTCACCACAGCAGAATGAACCATCAATTATTCTAACATATGTTTCCACAGTGTCTGCCCTTTTAGCCACAACCCAGTACTAGGAAACATCTATTCATACTCACACATGCACACACATACACAACAGCCAAATTTGTTGTCTTTGCACTTGTGTGGAAAACCGGAGAACCCGGAGGAAACCCACGTGAGCACAGGGAGAACATGCAAACTCCAAACAGAAAAACTAGCCCAGTCGGGACTTGAACCATCAACCTTCTTGCTGTGAGGCAACAGTGCTAACCACTGAGGCATCATGCCACCCTCAAACTCGATAAATGTGCTCTATAAACAAATACACAAGTTACTAAAAAATACACACAACAGCTGTCAGACAGCACATGAAGTGAAGTTAGCTTCACTATCTCCACTTATTTAGTATAGTCAGGTATGCTGTCAAATAATGTCTACTTTCAATAATTTTAGTCTATGACAGATAGTGTAGAATGTTTTATTAGGCTTTCAAAATCCCCCCGTATCTCTATTGCAAAGCCCAATCTAGTAGGAGGATCCAAAATTGTGCGGTTTACACTTAAATGCACTGCTTTATGTTTATCATTAAAATGTTAAGATTACAAAGAAGTTTTAAAAAGGATTATTACAAAAATAAAAAACTATTTGAAAAAAATCTGCATTAAATTGATAAAAAAAAATTCTTATGACAAAAAGTGTGAAATATGTTTTTTATATGTTTGAAATAGGATTTTTAAAATTACCCTTGCCTAAGATAAAAGAATCAATTATATGAAATGTTTCAAAGCTGCAGTGAATCTGCTCACACAAATCTCTCTGTAACTGGTTCAGATTTGCAGAAAATTGTAGTAGGTTAACAAATAAATATTTGATGGATAGTTACATGCATAATCCAAACATTTTGTGATGTAAGCC